TTAGAATGAAGGCTGATGACTGTAAACTCTTAGCTGACCAGTTGGCTCAGTTAAACAGTCGGCGGGTTACTTTGAACCCTCCATAAAGCAGGCCGAAATTGACCAGGCATACTGCGTGCAAAAGGATGCAGTGTGGGTATATCTTCCTCTTCTTTACTGAAAAAGGCAGTATTGGCTCGTATCGCCGCACTGTTGGACTTTTGTCTACATCAGCGAAAGCTCAATGGATCAATCTGAGGGAGAGTTGAATCTTAAATAGGTGTTGATGACTTCCCACCCCCATGTAAAGTTTCCAGACTTGAAGTGCTTGTTGCGTGCAAGAAAGTAGGCGTTTGACAACTACCATAATGGGAGGAATTTGTTAAACTACCCCGCGATCAACGGTTGGGAACTTGACACCAATTTAAACTCAATAACTTATTTTGCCAACCATGAAGAACCATGTTAACAGGATATTGTGGCAATCGTCTAAAAAGAGAGACCCGAAGAGGGGATAGAATGCCGGTTGAGGTTTGTTAAAACTTCATTTTCTCCAACCACTTAACAAGCCAATTTCTTTCTGTCTGATGATGTACTAGACACCTGGATGTCACCCGGATCAGTTAAGTCTGAAAGCAGCGAAAAAATGGCAGCACGTTTCGGTCAGTCTACACTGAATGAACGTAATCTAGGAATTTTGATTTCACTTTGCAAGGCGTTTGTATAAACTTATTTTCTGCATCCGAAGTTCCACATGAGCCAAGGTGACCGAGCTTACAACATCATGAGTCATCCTTTGGAAGATCTCGGCTCTGAGAGTTAGTCATATTGACTGGCATCTTCCCTTTCCATAAATCGTACACACGCCGTATCTGAAAGAAAAAACATGAATCGAAACCAATTTCACACCGAAAGCTATTTGGCAGTACAGTACCTCGGAATACGGGTCGGGGTAGTCTCCACGTTACTTCGTATTATCTCGTTTAAATAAGCTAGTTGGCATAACAAGTGCGTTTGACCTAAGACTTGCCTTGTTTATGTGAGCCACTGACATCTGACAACAAAATGCGCAACACATTCGGAAAAACGCATTGGAACTAGCTTCGGTAACACGAGGCTTTTCTTGTTGCATACATGTCGACCTTTAGGTTTCCCATCCTCAGATGAGGTATTTCTCTTAAAAAGCAGCAGAGAGCGACTTGTGGGATACAAAAACTTCCGAGTTCCAGCAAGGCAGGAATTTTACCAAAACGTGTATTCAATTGTTGCCACTTAATATGTTATTTTATCCAAAGCCATTGATAGACGAAGCTTTTACGCCTATTTTTGGTGAAACTGCACAAAAGTGGGACAAAGCAACAACGAAAGTGACCAAGATTTAATCGCATCAGCATGCAGGCAATTGGGAGGCTGTGGGGTGCGTTTCTTCCTTGGGCATTTGCTCTCAGAGCTAGGTAGCTAAAAATCTCTCCGACAACATAATGAGCAGCTAGACTTAGCGAAAAAAGTCATCCGCGAAGCTATACATACTTCCCGTTTGGAAGAGGCTTCAATACCTTTCGGGGACGAGATCAATCTACGTCGCAATAATATTGGCAGTCTGGAATACTGACAGATATATGACAGAGTTTCTGATAAAGCAAAAGCAACTTACTTGGCCAATCATCCAATATTCAGCAGGTTGACTGTGTTCCGCAAGATACAGGCAAACATATAACGCATTAGCTCTATGAAACAAAGTTTCGTTCAGAGACAACTGTATGTGACTAAAAGTGACGGACTAGCGAATGCGCCACTATCACGAGTCAATTTGCCTTAGATAGTGTTATCCACGAATTGCAGAAGGCTATGTGAATAAAATTACCAGTTTTTCGTATTCGATAACGTCTTGAACTGGACCCGTTAACACTGAAGAAACTGATATCTTTGAGTGCCCAAAACCAATGGATGGAAGGAAAGCAAACGATAAGCTTGTTTCCAGTTTGCATTGTGTAAGTTTACAATGCCACGACATCTCTCTCTTAGGTGAGTTAATAAACAAGTGACAAGGATTTTCCGACCAAAAAGAGTCGTTTTCCTGATATATTTAGTGATGCAAATTTGAGATGAATTCCCTTAAATAAATGTTTCAGGAATACTCATTGTTGCAACACAATTGGATATCATTTACGCACGCTAGCAGTTAATAGGAGATATCAAACGGGAACGTTTATTTTTTCCCCACAATTTTCGTGAA